GGGGGCGGGGGGGTGAAAGAGTGACTAGGGCGTACACGGTTGAGGTGCAGACCGCTAGTGTCTTTTTCTACGCAGAGTCTTATCCTCTTGAGCCTTATGGCAGTCAAGCATGGACACACTAGATAGGCCACTGGAGTGGAACCTGTACAAGTAGGCCTCTACATTTCAGCAGGCACAAAATTCATGTCCACTCCAGCCTATTGCGTATGTCGCACACTATTTTTCCACCGCAAGGCTAAAACAGTCCAGCAAGCTCTAGTAAGCTTAAAAAGGAAACTACGGTGCCCTGTACTTACCAATTCCAGTGCGTTGCACACTATAGAAAAGGTAATCTCAAGGTATACTAGATACAGTGAGGGAGCGATAGCTTACTCACCTCAAATACAAAGTCAAAGACAATGTATCTCGGCTGGAGACTGTATCGTTCACCGGCGAAGATACCTTGTACCGGCGCTCAATAGCCCTTAAATAGCCAGAGCTGTCAGAAAATTCTAAATTCAAAAGGGAAGCGGCTTCTTTTTCACAGAGACCTATAAAAGTAGTAAACGACACCCGCATAACGAAAGAACCAAAAATTCAAGACCGCGCAAAATGCAATGAATTAAAATGCCTTGCAAAATGCAAGGAGCGTAAATTATTCGGTCCGAGGAATGTTCTTCTCGAAAAGTGGTCTCGGCCGCTCCCATACACAGGACTTAAACCAAAAATTTGAATTGCATCAAAAGGACTCTCTCACATTGATACCAAGAATCAGCCAAAAACAAAAAAAGGAAGGAGATACCGGCAAATGTATGTACAAAAATCTTGCACTACAATTGCAAATTCATAAAACGACTTAATCATCAACCATAAATGGTTGTCCATTAGAGGTCACTTCAAAAGAGCGGCTGTGGTAGATATCATCAGTTCTGTAAAACTGTCCATACCTACCTGCAGATAATATCCGTTTAGTAAAACTATATTTATCTGCATGCTAAGGCTTAAAACTTCAGCCTGGCAACTTAAAGTCAAGCCTGGAAGCAAAGTATCAACTGTAATCAGAAGTATCTTCACTTCCTAGCCATCATTTAAGATTTAGCCTCCGCTCTGAGCTTATGCCGCTGCAGTCGATGAAGCTGCTTGATCAGAAGTTGGCGGCCTTCCTTTCCTTTTATTCTCCTTCTGTCTCTCCTTCCTCCGCAAGTTAGCCTCTCGAAGAGTCTCGCCCAAGCGATAAAGCTTCCTGTCCCCAGATGAAAGGGAAGCTGGTCTGAGTGAAATAAACATTGGGCCATGACTGTCATCGTCAGAGGGTCTTGAGCACATAACCTCCGTGTCAATCATAGCAAAGTTCTCTGAAAAATTACAGACGAACTCCTTCGTGCTCACTGTGGAATTTGTATATTCCTCTCCACTCATTGAATGACCCCATTCAACAATGGTAGACAAACACGTATCGCCAAGCTTTGATCCCTGGTACATTTCTTTTTCTTCTGTAGAGTATTCTTCCCAGAGTTTCTCAAAGTACACTTTCACACTGCTTGAGGACATGTGAAGATGAACTGTAAAATGTTCTGGGAATAGGTGCTTTGATACCAGGATCTGCTTTTACACGGGCTTCTGAAAACCTGCGGATCCAATGCTGCATGGTGCTGTAATAATAGTTAGCCATTGGCTGCCTTTTGTATCCAGACATTCTGTAGGCCAAACTATTTGCATCACCAGAAATGATGTCCACCTCATATACAAAACACTCATAAAGCATCAATGCTGTCTGTTCTCCTGTCAATAGGTGGGCATCCACAGCACGGTGTGTGTCAACATGATAATTACAGACTCTGATGGTATGCATGTTCGCTCGAGTAAGTGGAACACGCTGGTCCTTAGGACCATAGTCCTCAAATTCAAAGTCTGCATCCTTGAATTCTTGACGAGGCCTTGTTTCTCCAAAACAAATCTCATAGATAGCCCAAGTTACATCACGCTGTGGACAGTGACCAAGGTCTTGGTCATGTCCAGCAATGACCTTGACATATCCACCTGGTGCCAATCTAGCCATCACTGCAAGATTCTCCCAATCATTGAAACAAACTGTCCAATTCTTTTGCTCAATAAAATCCTTGGCAGGAACAAGGAGATGAGCTTCCTGGAGAATCACGACATGTGCACGTAAAAAGAAGAGCATGTTGAAGAAAAGGTTGTTTTCAAATTGCTCATATTGAAGTGACATGTCACTCTGTTTGCGTGGCTTCATTGCACGATCAAGTCCTTGGAGAAACTTTGGTGTGGTGTATTTCTGACCACGAACCATGTTGCCATAGTTCCAGGATAAAAATGTCAAGGACTCTGAGCTGGCCAATAAGTTAGTTTCATATTGTTCTTCTATTCTTCCTTTGAGGAACCTTTTGCGCAGCTCTTCATAGAAGGTGACATAGTCCCAACTGGGTCCCTTGGGACCATATTCTTCCAGTTCTTCTCTAAATTGTTTCTTTGTAACCTCCAAATCTGCTCGAGCTTGTTCTGCCCTTTCAAGGGTCCTGGGATCGACCTGATACTTGTCATCCAAATAAATGATGCGGTCATCATTGATGAAAAATCTCTTCAAATCATGCTCTGAGCTGTCCTCATAACAATCAGGTGGAGGTACTGGACAGATCTTTCGAATGGATCGAACAAAGTCGTCCTCGATGATCATTGACTGATAGTGAGGATGGGAAATCTTACCTTTTCTGAAACAAACATGGTTCAACAATCTCGCGTGAGTTTCCCTGAAGCATTGTTGATAAAAGCCAATACCTGGATCTCCTGTAAGCTCTCCAAACAACCTCAAAGGTGAAGTATGCAACTCATAGGTATTGTCAACATCCACTGTATCTGTATCAACAACTACTTCAGATGGAAAAGATTCTTGGATTTCAGCCTCCAATTTCTTCTCTCCATCATCCTCTCTGACCTCTCTTATCTTCTCCACCGCCTTTTTCTTCTCCTCAAAGGTTGCATCATCCTGAACTTCTTCATGAAAATGAGGATCAGGAATTTTATTTAGGCGGCTTTTCTTAGATTTCCGCAGACTTGAAGTATCATCAAGGTTAGCATCATTCTCACCTGATGGTAAGTGCGATGCAGCTGAGTCCTCACCTATCTCTCTTGACAGAAAGTGTGATGCTGACTCATCCTTGGCTTCCTCCTGGTCCACTTCCATCTTTGTGTCCTCTGAAGGAAAAACACCTGCATTCTCATCAAAAACTTCTTCGTCTTTTACGAGTTCAACTGCAGGATCTCTTCATGGACTTCCTCTTCCATATCTTCACCTTCCATAATCTTCATACTACCAGTATAGATCTCACCAGTGATAGTGGAGACTCTTGCGTAAGGAGGAACTTCTTCACCTGCCTCAAAAGCTTGTTCTGCGACATCCTTGGTGAGCAAGTCCTCTACAAGATTTTCTCCCATGGTTCTTGGAAGAGATTCTGAGGTCTCAAAATAATCTGTCCTCTCTGAACTGAAAAACTCAGTTGCCTTCTCATTGACCTTTTTATCCTTAAAAAGATGAGTAATCTTCACTGCTTCTCCCTGTAACACCTGATCACCTTCTCTATACTTGTTGACAATGGAGCGCCATACTGGCACATCGTCATCATCAAAATCAAGCTCCATATCATCTGCCATCAAGTTTGAGATGTTTTGAGCTGCCTGTTCTTCTTCTTCCTCACGTTCTCTTGCAAGCTCCTCCTCCTTCTGGATCTTGAAGATACCCTTCAGGATGTTTTGTAGTACCTTTGAGTTCAGCTTCGATGATGGCTCAAACGTCCCTGAACTTGCAGGCTCAACTACAACACGAGAGCAAGAAATCGCCTCCAAAAACTTGGAATTATATTGGCGTTCAAACTCTTCCTTCTTGATCATCTCATACAAGGGATCAGAAACTGCAACACGCGCCTGAACATATTCACGAAGTTGATAGCATGCATGTTGCACAAATCTGCTG